CTGAGAGTGGGCAGGGGTAGGAATTACCAACCCGATCGATGGGAAACTGGCTTAAAACTAAATCCTTTTTCTCCAGGGCTTCACTGCCCAGGTTTCCCGATGTGGGCTAAGCGCAAGGGGAAGACGGAAGGCAGCGTGCGTGAGGGCGCCCCCGGGGCGCGACCACTCAGAACCAAGGCCCTAAAAGTGCCCCCTATCTCCCCACCCAGACCTCCAGGGTACCATTTTTAGGGCAAAGACTCTTTAAAGCGCAAACGTTGGCGAACTGATTGCTCAATATGTTGTTTGTTTTTCCTTTCAGATCCGCCTTGGGAGAGAATGTTTCAGACGCGTTGGCGGGCAGATCGGGCGGAAAAGGGAACCCTCCCCCTCCATGCCATCAGTCACCCTCATCAGGCCCTCTCCCCTCCCCTCCCACTCTCGTTCAGGGCTCTCTGCCTGTGCCTGAGAATCCTAGCTCGGTGCAGACTCTGCACCGCGACCACCCCAAGTGCCACGGGTCGCCAAACAGCCAGTGGGAGCGTGGGAGCGTGGGAGAGGGGAGAGTACAGGAAAAATGCCCAGCCAGGCAAGGCGCCCCACTACCCAATTCCACGCCGCTCCACTAGGTATTCCAACGCCTACCCCGAAGCTTTGCATCAAGTCATGATTTTACCGCCTGCACACGGGGCCAAAGGCCTGCCGGGATCCGAAAGGCAGGGGAAAGTTTGCAGAGCTTTTAAAGTGATCTCCAGAAGTTCCTGCTTAAGTCGTCGGGGTGCCGCCCACAGTCTCCCGCAATGGCTCCTATCCCGGCACTAGAGGCCCTCCAGGGCAATCTGCCAGAGTCCCAGGTGCCTTCTAGTCCCCAAACTCTCAGGGTCACGCTCCCAGAACGCGGTGGGGCTCTGGAGCGGAGCTCTGATGTGACAGAATTCATTAAGAAGCCTGGAGCCCACTACAAAGCATTCGGAGTAGTTTCGAGGGCAGGACACAGACCCGCGCCGGAGGCATCTCTCCACACCCTTCAGAGCACAGTCTTGGTCGCCGGGTCTCCAGAGACAAAGTCAATAATCCCTTAGACTTGACTTAAAGGTGGGGGTGAGCAGCACGTAGGAGGCTACACCACAGACATCGAACAGCCTCCAAGTGCTCCGGGCTACGGGTAGGGTCCTGTCCTCCCTTACACTGGGCCCTGGCGCCACGCACCGTGGGGGCCAGGGTAGCTGCGACCTGGCCGCGTAGCGGTCCCCAGGATTTTCTCTAGGGGCGCGGGGCTCATCCCATGCCAAGATACCAGCAAATCTTCTGCCCCTAGCCTGGGTGGGTGGGGGCGCTACTTGCGGCAAGGAACCAGGATCGCGTGGTCTGCGCGCCGCTAGGGAGACGCGCGCGAGGGAGGTGATGGGTAGGGCTTGTGCTTTTTCTTTACAGAGTCTTTTGATTAGTTACGAAGTTTCCTGATAGACGCCTCTGCCCCAAGGTCGGAGCCTCCCACCATTGCTCCTTCCCCTCCCTCCTCGCAGCCCCTGGGAGCCGAATCAGCCGGAGTCTCTGCCCGGCCTGGCAGCGCGCTGGGTCCCGGAGGCTGGGACCACGCTGCGCCACACTCCCACCCTCCCCCGGAGCACCGCGCTGGGCGCCTCTCCCTGGGGCGAAACTCGCCGGCCCCGCTCACTGCAAGGAGACACCCGCTGCCTCCCGAGGAACTCCTAATACCATCCATACAGCTTTAATGCGTTTATAATTCGATAAGTGATTTCAATTTGAAATTGTTAGTAACTAATTTTATGGGTAATTTTTCCACATCAAATATTTAAGCATCAGATTAAGGGAGCCAGTTCCGACACAGGATAATAAGGGGGTTTCCCCCCCCACCCCCCGCGCCTCCGCCTCCCACCGTTTCCTACCGAGGCATTTTTCCAAATCCCCAAAAGGTGGCAGTCGAAGCCGACTTTCCTCTTTTCCTGTGGCTCTGCGAAGGGAGGGGGAGAGGGGGGGATGGGAGATGGCGGGAGAGGGGGGAGGGGCAAGAAAAGGGGAGGGAAAAACTAAAACGTTGGGTGGACTTTTCAAACTAATTCTTCAACACGTTTCTAATACAGTACAAGCAAGAAGCAGGGGTGAATTTCCTGGAAAAGTCCTGGCAGAAAAGAACCCCCCCCCCCAAAAAAAAAAACGTGCCTTGTGGTCTCAGGGGTAGGGGATGTGAGAAACTCAGCACATTCAAACTAAACCTCAAATGCTGAACGGAAGGAGAAGGGGGAGACTCGGAGAGGAACCGACTGGCTTTTTGATATTTCTTTGTATTTTTAACATTATCTATATGTTACTCAACTAAGAAACTTGTTTCTTTGAGGACAGGGCACTGCAAATTACATAATGGAGGAAAAGGGGTAGCGGTAGGCAAAGGGTGATGGGTGGGGGGCAGACTGCTTTGGGCGGAGGGGAGACTGGGGCGAGCAGCGGATGAATTGCAGACCAGTTGCCAAAACTTTTTTTTTTTTTTCCTGCTGCTGCTGCTGCTTTTGCGGCTGCCTTTGCTGCAGCCTTTGCTTTGAATGTGGGTAACTAGGAAACAGCAAGCCGTCTGAGAAGACGGAATTTCCAACGTGTAAAATGTTCTTAACGGAACCATTGAGCGAGTGCAATAAGGCGTGAGGGGGAACTAATCTTCCCATTTAAATGTTTGTGGCAATTTTATCTAAATGAATTTTAATGCTAAACGAGGGTAATTCCCCATTTGTAGCGCGTTTACTTCTCTTTCCTGTGCTTCTAAAGCAGTCGAACATCATGCAATGAACAATAACAATAAAAATACTGTCAAGGCATATTATTCACTTTGAATGTGTTATAATTACAGCTGATTAAATATGATAGGATCAAATATTTTAAAAAATTTTTGGAAGAAAATATCTAAATCGTACCAAAAAGTTGTCTCATTCAGCCGGGGGGGGGGGGGGGCTTCCCCCTCCCGAATAAAAATTGAAAGCAGGTATAATTGTGTGCCCTTATTTAAAGGAGGGCGTTTTGTTTTTGCCTTTTAAGAAACATCAAAAACACTCTCGACACCTCTATTATTTCCCTCCTTCGGATAAGTGTCCTCAATAACCTCAGAGCTGGCTCTGAAATTTACAAGAGGAAAAGCTAAAATAGCATTAAGTCAGGAGGGTGTCGGGCAGAGAAAGAGAGGAACTGCGAAGAGTAATTCTCCCACATCATCCTCACATTAGTTGGGCGAACGCAAACAACAGTTTTGGTTTGGGTTATTTTTTCCTCTAATTTCTGGACATTAATGATCACTATTCTTCATCGTCTCCATATTCCTTAACTTCACTAGCATCCTTCTTCTTCTGGAGGCTCTCTCTCTCTCTCTCTCTCTCTCTCTCTCTCTCTCTCTCTCTCTCTCTCTCTCTCTCTCCCTCTCTCTCTCCCTCCCTCCCTCTCTCCTCCTCCCTCTCCCCCCCATCTTTCCCTCTCCCTGCCTCCCTTCCCCCTCCCTTCCCCCTCCCTTTTCTTTTCCTCCCCCACTAGGCAAGAGCCTCCTGGAGAATAAAGACTGAAAATAACCAACTCACCCGGGCATGTACTGGGGAGGAGGGGCAAATGGACGGTTAGTTTATGAAGTTTATTATTCATTTTAAAAGTAAATAAATGGTTGTTAACTGCTAGTAACCACCTATCAAAAGAGAATGATTTCACTAATATAGACTGTTTACGTAGCGGAAGAATTACCACTGGGTCAAAATGAGAAATTTAAACAATCCCATATAAGGGGTGGGGGTGGGGTGGGGTGGGGGTGGGATGGGTGGCCGCGCAGCCCACGATGGGTGCAGTAGGTTGAGCCCTACTCTTTCTGCTCACCCACGTGTTTAGAAACTAGGCCCCATAAACAAAAGGTGAGAGTGCGCGCTGTCACTCCAGCAGGTGAGTCACTCAGTCACAGTCACCTAGTAAAGCCAACCCACGGCTGGTTTCTCTTTTCAAACAGAAAATAGAATTGCTGAGGGCGGGTTTATAGGGTGACATGGGCCTGAATGTCAGACTTCAGTTTAAGACACTCTCTTCCAACCCATCCCTTTGTTTACAAAGCAATCACTGCTAAAAGGCTTATTTTTTAAAACGAATTTGCCTTAATTAAAATATTTGTATATTTTCCTGAGCTTTGGGAAGCACTCTTTATAGCAGCAATTTTATTTAAATAAAATTATAAGCTATTCCAGCTTAAACATGTTATTTTGTACCATTTAGCTGGCTGCCATGCAGAAATTCTGTACAGCTGTTCTGGAAAATTGGTTAATAACCAGTTTTATCCAATGAGAACACAGAGCATATTTATAAAAATTAGATTTTGAAGTCTGGTCTCTTCAATTCACGTAGTTAATTTCCTAATAAACATATACTGCTCATCCTAGGTTAAGGTTCTTAGTAAAACACTAAACTCTGTACTTAGGTTGCCATTATGTACAAGAATAATTTCACTGATATTAGATGAATAATTCTGTTGGATGTAATCTGAGTCTACAGTTAGTTTAGTGCCTTTAGGCCTTAAATTTGCTGATATTAGGAGTTCGTTAAGTCATCTTACAGAAATCAGTGGTTATTATTAAATAATTCACTTTGCAGTTAAAACTCCAAATACATATATGGCTTAGGGAGCTAAAATTAATTATTATATTTACTGCATTAATGGTTAAAAATTTGGGGGGCAGTACACAAATTGTTCAAGCAGTGGAGTCAGCATGACAAAAATAATCTTGTTTTTATTTTAGATTCAGATTTCATTACTGCACTCAAACGACTACAACTGGGCTTGGCGTTATTATACAATCCAAACTGTTTCCGTCAGAAACGCTAAGACTCAGTGTGCAATGATTGTTATTAATAATTAGCTCCTTGGTTTCTTGATAGAAAAAGGCTATCAACAAGCATTTGTTTATCCACAACAAAAAAGTATAATTAGCTTATCCCACTTAGTAAATCTTGTATGCATGCCAACTCATACCAAACTGCTACTTTTA